TACTCGCTTTAGATTCTAAGTAACTATTCCTGGCTTTGACTATAATCTAATTCCTTCCTTTACATAATACAGGCAATCCTCGACTTACAACAGTTCATTTAGTGACTGTTCAAAGTTACTACAGCACAGAAAGAAATGACTTGTGAATGTTTTTCACAGTTACGACCTTTCCAGCATTCCCATGATCATGTGATCAAAATACAAATGCTTGGCAACTGATTCACACTTATGACCATTGCTGTGTCCTGGGGCCATGTGATCACCTTTTGAGATTCTGACAAATTCAATGGGGAATGATCCTCTACAACTGGTTATGCTTCCCATAGGATCCATTTTTTAAAAAAAATTAAATTAATCATAGGGGCTTGTTTTCTTTTTTCTAATTTAAAAATACTTTTCTATAGCAAAACAATGCTAATTCTGACATAACAAACGAAGGGCTAATTTTTAAAACAATACAGATTAGTATTTAAAATTAAGGTTTCTCTGTGGTTCTCTCAGAGCCAGCACACTATATCCCCAAAACATAGGCATTTATTAAAATGTAAGTGCTTTCTAATATGGATTCTATATCTGAAAGACCAGGTTAGGTATACATCATCATGTTCCTGAGTATGTTACAAAAGTCAGTTTTGAATATTTACACCAAATTATTGGAAACGGCAGGAAAAAAAGCATGATTCATTTGTTGCATTTGAATCAGCATATATACATTTGAAAATGTTATCAAACCTGTATAACTATAATGTTTGAACTGTTATGTCCTTTGATAGTTAATAATAGAAAAGCTTTACAAATCTTCATATAGATTCTGGTTACTTGTGTGCAAATGATTTACAGTAGCACCAGTTTTTTTCTTACACTTGGTTTAAAGCAAGGGTGTCAACTGGCGGCCTGTGGGCTGGATGTGTCATGCGCAGGCAGAGGTGGGTTTCTACTAGTTCGACCAAGTAGGTAATAACTCAGCCTGCCACGCGCCTGAACCGGTTCTCTCGGCAGCACTATAGGTGCCGCCATTTTGTTTTTTGCTTCTGCACATGAACAGAAGCAATTTTTTAGTACTGTGCATGCATGTGTGCAGCGCGTCCCTGAGCGAACCACAGTAGCAGCAACTAGAACCTACACTTGCACACAGGTGATGCCTACCCTAGCTTCGCAAATGGGGAAAATGTCACAAAATGTCACGTGACAGCAATGTAACACCACAGATTTGACACCCATGGTTTAAAGCATTGGTTCATGGTGTTTGGCCAGAACTATTGCTACAATAGTTGTAAAGATAGACTAGAATATTTTGCTCATAGCTGTCACTTTTCTTTCAAAAATTTTCTGTGCTCAAATTTGAGAAATGGGGGGAAATAATTGTTTTAGACACTTAAAAAAACTTTTAAGTGAAACTCTTTAATACAGTCATTAAACTATAATCTGCAAGCTAAAGTTCATCAATAGCTATGTGTAGTTTTGAAAAATAAAAAACCTGCCAGTTCTGTTCAATAGTCTAAAAATGTTATGACATAAACAAGACAATACTGTACGTGTTCATGTATTTTTGTATTTAAATAGTATTGCATTATATTGAATTCTGATAATCATTCAAAATTTGTAAGTTTGTGAATCAACAGATTTAAAGTACAGCTGAAATTCCAATCATACATACTGTATTCAGCTACAAGATGTTCCTGGCTTTTCCAATCTTTACAAGTGACTGTTTTTCTTTATTTTGGCCATCATTATATTTTCAAATGAATGATGTTATTAACATCTTGAAAAAATGAAGTTTGAGGAATTAAACTTTTAAAACTTTTTATAGTGCTTAAAATAACCATTATGTCAAGAGGAAAGTGAGTTATTGAAGCAGAATCTTATACATAGAGATTTATTTCATTTTGGTTAATATCGTATTAGAATTCTTCAATTTTTTCCAGATCTGTTGTGCTGTTAAGGTAGATTTTGTGTCCAATAGCTTATGTTGGACACGTAATAGTTTTCTGGACTTTTTTTTTACTATCCTCTGAACTTTAGAATTGCACGTTAGTTCAGACAGAGGGATAATTAGTGCCAGTTATATATTTCGTTATATAGAGTTGTTTGATTCCTGTCATAATAGTGAAGGTATTGCCATACAGATTGTATTTTTAGAATAATTTTATTAAAGTTTACAAATGCAAAGATAAAAAAACTAATGCAAACTAAAGAAAATATAAAAAGTAAAAGTAAAATTAATTTATAAAAGAAAAAAAGAAAAAGATGTAGGTAATCCTCAACTTGCAACCATTAATTTAGGGACCATTTGAAATTACTGAAAAAAGTGTCATGGCCATTTTTCAGAGTTATGGCCCTTGCAACTTCCCCCAGGATCATGTGATCAAAATTCGGATGCTTCAGCAACTGGTTCATATTTAGGATTATTGCAGTGTCCCAGGATCATTTGATCACCTTTTGAAACCTGACAAGTAAAGTCAATGGGAAAAGATTAACTGAACCTGTGTAACTGGCCTAACTGCAGTGATTCACTTAACAACTGTGATAAGAAAGGTCAAATGGAGCAAAACTCACTTAACGTCTTGTTTAGCAACAGAAATTTGGGACTCAATTGTGGTAGCAAGCTAAGGACATGTATAGAAAAAAATGATTGTTATACATAATGTAATTTGACACCTTCTCTACTGCTTCAATTAAAAATCCTTTTCCCATGTCTCACCCCTTATCAATAATCAAATTGCAAAAAAATTAACAGAACTTGGTTTTCTGTTTTTTGCTGTCTGATAACCCATTTGACCATGGACTTGGACTTGGACTTAATCTTCGTAAATGTCAACGTCCATAAGGCAGTGACCGTTGCATTGTGAAGGCCAGGGGCAGGACGTCACGGATTACAGCACGCCATTGATTCCGATTTAGGGCGGCTTGTTGGGCATCGGTTATCGAGAAATGGAGTGGTTGAAGATTGTGAGCCACTTGGGATATCCACGTTTTCTTTGGGGCATTTCGTGCGATTTTCCACCCATCCGGTCGCAGCGAGTTAATCGATCAGTAAGGTAATCGGCTATTGTCCATACGGCAAACGTGTCCAAACCATCTAAGTCGTTGTCTTCTTAGGTAAAGTTCGATTGTAGTTTGGTTTTTACACAGCTGCAATACCGTTTCGTTTTTCCATCGGTCCCGTAGAGTTATGTGCAGAATGTTGCGCAGGCATCTTAGCTGGAATCGTTCTAATAGGTTCAGGTCGCTTTTAAGTAAAGTCCACGATTCCGAGCCGTACAGTAAGATTGTGCGGATGGAAGCATTAAATATCCTCATCTTGGTCGCAATCGTCACGTCATTTTGGCTCCACAGGCACTTCCTTAAAGAGGCGAATGCGGCTGTAGCATTGCCAATGCGGCTTTTGATGTCATTTGTAGCCACTACACGTTGGCTGTCGATGATCGACCCCAAATATTTAAACGTGTCTACTCTTTCGATAGGGTTGCCTTCGAGGTGCAGTTGAGCTGGTTGAGTGCCTGTGAAAATGAATTTGGTTTTTGCACCATTTATCACCAGACCGAGTTCGTTAGCATTTGCTTGTAATGCATCCAGGGTATTTTGGGCAGTTTGGGCTGTTTCAGCAAAGAAGACGATGTCATCAGCATACACCAAGTCCGTGAGAGACAGCTGAGCCCCGATTTGAACGCCTGGTGTGTCTTTAAAAGTTTGTCTGAGGATCCAATCCATGGTTATATTGAAGAGCATTGGTGAAATAATACAGCCTTGTTTGACGCCGGTAGTTATTGAGAATGGTGGGGACACATTTCCCTTCATGATCAAATTAGAAATCCTTGCAGGGATTTCAGGTTTCTACAGCTTTGGTAAACAACCTGTTACTGAGGTGGGGCAGGAGGGGTGGTTCAAGAAGACCAGCAGCACAGGACATAAGGAGTATTTAGCATTTTAAGAGACTGCTGTTGCCTTTTTCTTTAAATATTTTTTTTACATGATAACCAATGTTTACTGTGTGTAACCCTTTAGAACCAGTATTTTTGTACAGTATCAGTTTAAAGTCACTTTAAAATAGCATAACTATTATTAGTGCAATTGAAGAATGTTTGAAAAACAATAGTTGAATTAGTGTGAACAGCAACATACTATGAATAGGGAGCACCTTGTTTTAGGGATGGGATGAAGGGAGATAGAAGAGAAGAGAAACATCAGCTTGCTGCCCAAGGACTGAGTTTAATATTTTTGTAGCTCCGCCTCCTGCTCTCCTGAGAGGCTCAGTTTCAAAAAATGAAAGAGAGTCCAAAAAGGTCGTAGATGGAGATGCAGAATGTCCCCCACTGGAGTACAGAACCCCGCGGGCACTAGTTCGGGCGGGGTTGGACATGGTGCAGTATCAGTATACAGTAAGAAATTTCCAATTAACTTTTTATTTTTATTTGTTAGAGGAGCCAAGGTGGTGCAGTGGTTAGGGTGCAGTACTGTAGGCCACTTCAGCTGACTGTTATCTGCAGTTCAGCGGTTCTAATCTCACCGGTTGACTCAGCCTTCCATCCTTCCAAGGTGGGTGAAATGAGGACCCAGACTGTGAGGGCGATATGCTGACTCTGTAAACCACTTAGAGAGGGCTGAAAGCCCTATGAAGCGGTATATAAGTTTAACTGCTATTGCTATTGCTATAGCAGAATTGTAAGAGTTTCTATATTGGGTTTTAATGAACATTGACCTGAAATACTTGAAATAGCTGTACATCATTATCAAAGTTTGCACATTTTCAGCTGTAGTCCTCTATTTGTATAATGACAGCATTATTACATCATCTCTGACAGTGTCTGTAAGGATTTCTGAATATATTATAGAAGCTACATACACAAACTTACACTACAATATATTTTTATATGGTGGCTGTAATCTCTAGGACCAAGATAATATATTATGATTGGTTATAACTCTTTCTGCACAAATCTTGCCTTTGCAGCAAACTTTTTTTTAAAAAAAAAACTTCCTTTATGTCATCCTCCTTTCAGATTTCTCCTTCAATGTCTTGAGGACTTGGATGCCAACTTAAGAAAACTAAACTCTCGTTTATTTGTGATTAGAGGACAGCCTGCAGATGTATTTCCTAGGCTTTTCAAGGTAAATTTTGATTATTTGAAGATGATTTGAAGCAAGTACAAAAGTATTTCAACTTACTTGAATACTATGATTATACTTAAAAGTAATCTGTGCAATATTTATTGACCATATTTAACGGGCATAACTTGGCTAAGATTTGCATCACAACATTGGGATTTAAAAATAAAAACCTAGTCAGATTGCTTACTTTTTAATTTTTTTCTTACTGTTTCATATTATAATGTGGTTCGATATATTAGATATAAATATGAGGCGACCATCTATAAAGATGAAGCAAACATCTAAACTTTTGTACCTTGTTGCAAGAATGTATTCATGAGGATTTTTGTTCTATCTTCATTCTTTCAGCTCGTTATCTCTTGGTAAAATCTATTCAAATAAGACAAAAATAGCATACTGTAAGAGCACACACCTATAAAAGAGGGAAGGAAAGCCTTAATTGCATATAATCCAGTTTTATGAATATAGACATTTTAAGAGGGGAGTAATAAAAATATATTTTGGAATCTTAGGAAGATCCTATATTGATACTGAATTATGAATGGTAAAGTCTGTTCAGTTCTAGGAAAGTGGGGCTAAACCTCTCTAAGGGTTTTCAAATTACTATATAATTTAATGTAATATTCATTTTATAGGTTTAGTTCTGTTATATTTGAAAAAGGAGGGCTACGGTCTTTTCTCTAGTTTGCTTAAAATCTTCTGAAGCAGAATCCTTGGCTTATATATGGAGAATATTTTTTTCTGCATTTGCTATTGAATCTAGCCATTTGTTTTCATGCATTCAGGGTATTTATTATTCTTTCTTGTTTGTTGACGTGGGACAATTGCTGTTTTAAAAATCACATTATTATTTGAAATTATAGGAATGGAATATTTCAAAACTTTCTATTGAATATGACTCTGAACCATTTGGAAAGGAGAGAGATGCAGCAATTAAGAAATTGGCCATTGAAGCAGGATTGGAAGTCATTGTACGGATATCACATACCTTATATGACTTAGACAAGTAAGATACCAATTTCTTAAGTGTAAAAGGAAAAAATAATGTTTCATGTAGTATGAATAGATACTGATACCGATAGAGGATAGAAAATAATTCTGAGTCAAGGTTTTTTATTACAGTAGTTTCCTGTAATATATCAATTTTAAAAATTATTTAGTAGCATAATGGATGGTTTCAATGCCAATCAAATTTAGCAGTTTAATTTAACTACTATGAAACATTTATATTTACATACGAAACTTGTATACTGCTGAATTCAACAAATTGACTCATGGTACAGTAAAAACATAAAACATCCATGATGAAGATCAATAAAATATCCTTAGTAACAGGATTCAGACAAATGTAACATTAAAATGGTCATGAGAGGTTTAAAAATAAAAATATTTTAAACATTGGAGATGTGAAACCATAGTAGAAAATTGGATGATATTTGTATGATAGGGAAAATCCCTAGGGAAAAGCTGTCTTTAATTAATTCCTTGACTGTTATCAGAGAGGAGGCAAGCCTGAAACCAGCTGTTTCAGAGAACTGACGCTGTAACAGGAAAGAACCCCTCCTGCTAACAGCCAGACAAATTAGGTTATCAGCAGGAGCTTCTTTCAGTGCAGTCTTGCTGTTCAGGACAATTCTGACTAGATAATGTAGCCCTGGATATATCTAGATGCCAAGCCATGAGGGACTTCGTAAGTTAAAACCAGTACTTTAAAAGTAATAATTGTCAAAAATAACCGGATTCAAAGAGCGTCTTCAGAAAAGGTTGCATATAGCTTCTTTCGAGGCTGTTGGAAAAAACCCTCTCAAGAGAAATTTTGATCAGCTTTCAGATCCAGTCAGTTAATCTCCCCCCCCCCCCCGGCCCGGTCATGTCTAAAACGGTGATGGAGATCATACTAGAAAGCACCCTATATTTCCTTGGAATTCACAGGCTGGATGAAATCCTAGATAATACAGTCAGATGCTCCTGTGGTCAGTTGAACTCTGTTAATGAGGTGTCAAGACTGAGACAGTTGACTGTCAGCAAAATCCTAGGTAAATTGATGACAACAGCTAAAAGGAGGACCTTGTCATTTCCTGAAAGGGAGTTTGCCACCCTATGCATAAACATTTGGGGATAATCTCATTCTAATCTAGATAAATTTTCAACTGCTCTGAAAGGAATGTGAGGTTAAAAGTGTCTGTGCAAGACCCAAGATTTATGAAGGCCGTGAATTCATGGATTCTTGTGTTCCCCAGGATATAAATATCTAGGTTTACCATACTAGTCCTGAAATCACTTCCAATAGTCTAGAAAGGGATTCCATTTGGCAACTAGGTACACTGGTAGAACTTCCAGTTTGTCTCTGTGGCCCAGTTTCAGATACAGACATTTACACCCCAAAATTTCCAGAGCAGATCCTTTGCCCTATACAAGTATGATATATTTAAGTATGAATACACCCATCTCTACTAGGTATTAAGTTGGCTTAAGTTGACAATTAGAAGTGCAAATTACTACTAATTTGGTGATTATCCATGTCTTGGAATAGCTTATTCAACCTTACCTGCCATACCTCCCTTCTTTCAACAAAAGTGGGGTATGTTTGCTAATCACTTCCTCCCCAATACTCATCTATCCCCGCCCTGACCACCTATCTTTCAATTCACTTGTACCCATCATCAAAGCAATACTTTGTGGGAAAGATGGGCAACCAATAAGTTGGATGGGTAAGTAGGTAGGTAGGTAGGTAGATCGATCGATACAGACAATTCAACTAGGGAAATAGCAGCTCCCACTTGAGCAATTCAAAGGGAATTTTAAATCAAATACTGACACCATCACCTAAGATCTCCTTTTCCTTCCTTTCTCCTCTGTTTAAAAACAACATGAAACCCTATGGACAGCTCATCCCCATCTCTACCCATCACTTTTGGCTGTTCTGTTACTTTGGTTGATGAGATGTCGAATGTGGAAAGTTAATGGTTTCTATACTTTGTACACTAGTTTCCAGAGACTTGTTTTTTTAAATATTGAATTGTCATATGTTAAAGTATATGAGGACCCAGATAGTTGGGGGCAATATGCTGACTCTGTAAACTGCATAGAGAGGGCTGTAAAAGCACTATGAAGCGGTATATAAGCCTAAGTGCTATTGCTATTTGTAAATTGTAATATTTGTAAGTGGTTTAGATTCATTTTTATAATTTCTTTGTAACCAATTGTTAAGTAACCTTTCTAGGGATCTATTCATTCATTTGCAGAATAACCAAATTGTCATTGACCATTTTATTAATCATTTGTATTAAGATGATTGGATTTACTATATTAGTTCTACCTCTTAGGGTTTTCTATATTTCTAATGAGAAATTACCAGCTTTATTCATAATATGAAGCAAATGTCATAATGTACTGGTAAGGTAAGAAATATACTATAGAGTTGCATAATAAACATAAAGTGTTTCTGAAAGTATAAACTAGCATTGAATTCTTTGTATGTAGAATTATAGAATTAAATGGAGGCCAGCCACCTCTTACTTATAAGAGATTCCAAACTCTAATAAGTAGAATGGAACCATTGGAGATGCCTGTGGAAACTATCACTGCAGAAGTCATGTCAAAATGTGCCACCCCAGTTTCCGACGATCATGATGAAAAATACGGAGTTCCATCACTTGAAGAACTAGGTAAGCCAAGATATATCATCCCCATTCCTTGAGCATTATTGAAAAAATATGTGGTCATAAGTAGGAGACTTTGCTTAGTTTGCATATAGAAGATAATAAATCTAATAGAAGGATCTGGAAGACAATAAAGGTACTTCTGAACTTACGATCACAATTGAGCCCCAAATTTCTGTTGCTAAGCAAGACAGTTCTTAAGTGGGTTTTGCCCCATTTTATGACTTTTCTTGCCACAGTTAGGTGAATCACTGCCATTGTTAAGCTTGTAACATGGTTAAGTAAATCTGGCTTCCTAATTGACTTTGCTTGTTAGAAGGTTGCAAAAGGTGATCACATGACCAGGGACATTGCAACAATCATGAATTAAAATGTCAGTTGCCAAGTGTATTGATCATGTCACCACGGGGATGCTGGAACAGTTGTAAATCAGTAAGTCACGTTTGACAGTACCATTGTAACTTCGAATGATCACTAGATGAATGGTCGTAAATTGAGGACTACCTGATCTTGTCATTTAAAATTTTGCTTAAAACTCTCTATAAGAAACCGATACTGTCTATTAATGCTTACTTCTGCATAGGCATTATTCTAGAATATGTGTGTAACATAATTAAGTAGAATTTCCAAGTAACCATGTAGTTTATAGAAAATTTTTGCTTTATTGTGAGGAAAAAAAGAGCAAGTTCCTGGTTGTTAAATTTTGAAGACTTGCTCCTAGATTGGGTGTTGATAACTCACCATGGATTTATAATAGATGACAGAGATTTCAGTATATTTGTCATTGCACTGAGGAGCAATAAATTATTTGAATAATAATTCAGTATTCAATAATAAATTTTAATAAATCATTCAAAGTAATCAAAACCTGCAAATTTAGCATTGGGTCAGTTCAGTGCTTTGAAAATATGTGTAATAATTGTTTAATGTACCAAAGTTTTATAACTCATACAGATGGTAACTGACTAATAGCATTTGACTAAAATATTTTACTTTGGTGTCTGTACTATAGGTTTTGATACAGATGGATTGCCTTCTGCCGTTTGGCCTGGAGGAGAAACAGAAGCACTCACGAGATTGGAAAGACATTTGGAAAGGAAGGTATGTTGTTCACCTTTGTTGTTTGCCAAATATAAGGATAATCCTTTTTTGATTAGCACAGTTGAGACCGGAATATCAGTCATAAGTTCTGGTTGTTAAGTGAGATGCCCACATGACCGCTTCCTCAACAACCACAATCCTGGCATTCATAGTTGCAGTCATTAAATGGAGCACAGGGGTTCCTCCGGTGGTAGAGGATGTGTCCTGCAGTACAATTCAAAGTCACAGCCGCTTTAGCCTGGTCTTGCAATGTGACACTCGATGAGTTAAAAATGATATGCATAAGATTTTGAGAAGCTGATACAAAGCCATTGCAAGCTTGGTTTTTAAAATGCTGTTAAGAAAATATCAATAAATAATAAATATAAGTCTCCCCCTCCTTTTTTTTTTCCTTTTTCTTTTTAAGGCTTGGGTTGCAAACTTTGAACGACCTCGAATGAATGCAAATTCCCTTCTTGCAAGTCCAACGGGACTTAGTCCTTATCTGCGTTTTGGCTGTTTATCTTGCCGTCTATTTTACTTCAAATTAACAGATTTGTACAAAAAGGTACGAATTGATCATTGGGATTTATCTGCATGTATTTAAGACATGTATTTAAAAAGTGAGTTTTTAAACCCTATCTTACGATTTACAGGTGAAAAAGAACAGTTCTCCTCCTCTTTCCCTCTATGGCCAATTGTTGTGGCGTGAATTCTTTTACACGGCAGCCACTAGTAATCCACGATTTGATAAAATGGAAGGCAATCCCATATGTGTGCAGATTCCTTGGGACAAAAATCCGGAGGCTTTGGCCAAGTGGGCAGAGGGTCGGACAGGGTTCCCTTGGATTGATGCTATTATGACCCAGCTGCGTCAGGAAGGCTGGATTCATCATCTTGCCAGACATGCTGTGGCATGCTTCCTAACGCGAGGTGATCTGTGGATTAGCTGGGAAGAAGGAATGAAGGTACAGTTTTCTTCTAATCAACACATGTTGATATTGTTCTTAGGATTTGTTATTACAGTTTGTTTCTAAATAATGTTAAGAAAAGTTGTATTGCATACCCATTTGTGATTGATTCTTCTGCAGAACATGATGTATGTAATTTATTATTATTATTATTAAAGTCTTGACATATTTGCCTCTTTATTAAAAAAAAAAAACCTACCATCCTTTACTTGCAATTCTGAAGCCACATTGAAGACTCTTGTCGTGAGAAAATATAGTTTTGTAGTATGCTGCGTGTAGTTAATGCAGAACCAGTGGGGTAAATGCATATAACTGATGTCACCATTATAAATGTTGTATAATATAAAGTAATTTAGCTCAATAGCAACTCCTAGTGGTAAGTCAACACTTTATGCATTATAATGAGCATTCAGAATATGTCCTTGTTTTCTCTCATCTGTCCCATACTCACTCTTCTTTAACACATTAAAACATGTGTTAGATAGTGTTAGATAGAATACAAACAGGCTGATCTGGGGGATTAGAGTGTCCTGTAGTACTGTGACTAATTGCTTATGCTAGTGGTTTTAAATATTCTGTTTCCAGCAGTGTATGTGCATTATCAAGAGCCGAGGTGGTGCAGTGGTTAGGGTGCAGTACTGCAGGCCACTTCAGCTGACTGTTATCTGCAGTTCAGCGGTTCAAATCTCACCGGCTCAAGGTTGACTCAGCCTTCCATCCTTCCGAGGTGGGTGAAATGAGGACCCAGATTGTGGGGGCAATATGCTGACTCTGTAAACCGCTTAGAGAGGGCTGAAAGCCCTATGAAGCGGTATATAAGTCTAACTGCTATTGCTATTGCTATCTGTTTTTATAAATTTGTAAGCTACCTTGAGTCCTTTCTGCAGATAAATGAGTTGTCTGCTGACTTTGCACATTTCAAAAGTTTACTGTATAGAGTATGTATTTCTCCTCCAATTTCTCCTTATGTGCTTAGATATGGACATTTTAAAAGCAAGCATGCCAACAAATTGCCACTTAAAACTGTATTCCAGAGGGGGGGGGAGGAAGAGTAAATACAGGGTTATATTAATTCAGTGGTTTTGTTTTGTTTTTTTGGGTAGGTATTTGAAGAATTGCTTCTTGATGCAGACTGGAGTGTGAATGCAGGCAGTTGGATGTGGCTGTCTTGTAGCTCATTTTTCCAGCAATTTTTCCACTGTTACTGTCCTGTGGGTTTTGGCAGGAGAACTGATCCTAACGGGGACTACATCAGGTAAAAAACCATTATCAGTTTAAAATGAAACATTATACTGGATTATTATGATGAACCATAAAAATGATAGAAAATTTCTTTTCTTTTTCTTTAATTAAGACGGTATCTACCTATACTCAGAGGTTTTCCTGCAAAGTATATATATGATCCTTGGAATGCCCCCGAGGGAGTCCAGAAAGCTGCAAAATGTATAATAGGAGTAAATTACCCCAAGCCAATGGTAAATCATGCTGAGGCGAGTCGATTGAATATAGAAAGGATGAAACAAATCTACCAACAATTATCCCGATACAGAGGATTGGGTATGATGGAAAGCTTTGATTTCACTTTTTACTTTCATGACTTTCACAGACATTAGTCTGTGTTTGCATGGGATTGATTCTTTAAAAAATAATGCTCTAATTCTTATTGAGAAAATTAACTCTGTTTTTGACGCCACTGCATTTTATTTTGATTAGGTCTCCTTGCTTCAGTGCCTTCAAATGGAAATGGAAATGGAAACGGAAATGGTGGCCTAATGGGATATTCTTCAAACGAAAATCTCTCTGGTTGTGTTGGTACAAATGGTAAGTTGCTCCTATGTTAGAAAAAATAAGAAGCATAAATAACAATCTATTTGTCTACCAACATTATAATAATAAGCCAAAGACAAGTGATGGTTTTTTAAGGAGAGGAAAACCCAAGGCCTCCTTAAAAGGTCCTAGGTATGGCTTCTCTTGCAATGAGGAATTTATCACTGCATGAGCTCATCTGATGGTCACCATCTTGGAAGCTTTCACCAGCCAGGAGGGACAAGGGTCTAATTGTTTGACAGTGCATGTTTTCTGGTGCTGTGTTCAAATAACGCTGCCTCTTCTGTCCTGTGCACATTGTTCCAGAAGTTCTAGTGCTGTGATGACGAACGTATGGCATGCATGCCAAAGGTGGCATACAGAGCCCTCTCTGTGGGCATGTGCACCGTTGCCAGCTGCTCTTCTGGTTTCCAGCATGCGCCTGATGGCCAGCTGGTCTTCATATTTCCGGTGCTCTGGCATGCGCACATTCACACACATGCACACATGTTACGGTTTGGGCACTGGATGCCCAAAAGGTTTGCCATCACTGTCCTAGTGTTTATCTGGATGTTAATGAGCAAACTTAGGTTCTTGCCCTGATGTTCTTTCTGAACATCAAAGGTTTCCTCCTGGCACAATTCCTTTCCAATGTTAGATCCATATACTCTGACATCACTCATGAGAGCTATGCTTAGGTCCTGTGATGAAATTCTGGCGTTCTTAGGGATTTTTTTCAGCAGTTTCCTTTCTGTTCTGAGGCTGAACTTGCTGGGATGGACTGGACAGGTTGGCAGTCTTCACTTGTAGATAATCTGGACAGTGGATTGATGTCCAAATGATTGGCAATCTTTTTAAATCATCTTTATGCAGGCCTCAGGGAGCTCTTTCAATCCAGGCATAGTGATGCTGCCAGCCAACTAAATAGGTAATAACACAGGTACCTCCCAGATCCTTTCTAACAATGTAGTAAACATTTGCATCTGATCTGGTACACCTGTTTTTAATTATAGGTATTTGAGGTAGTGATAAACATAGGAGTGTACTTACTTTTTCCACATATGAAATTTCTCATTTAGATTTATTTATATTATACCATATAAATTGTGCATGATATTAAATGTATCACTTTTGTGTAATTCTAAATCCCCAAAATAATTCAGATTTGCTTTCTTTCAGGCACTCAAATGGGAACCAGTGAAGGACATACAGGGAATGTTCAATCATGTACCCATGGAGAGACTCATAAAGGAAAAAGTGGAATTCATCAGCAAGGTGGGATAACTCAAAACTCCATTCACTATTCCTTCATTCTTAAATAATAAAGTGTGATACTCAAATCAAGATATATTGATTTCAGCAATGTAGTTTCTGCATACGTGTGTTTAAGGATAGTGAGTTAAGAATAGGAATTGCTCTGGGGAAACCATTATATTACCGTAATAGTATAGACTAAATAACTAATATACCTAAAACACTAAAGTCCAACTGATCTCCATGGAAGTGAAGTAGGCATGACAACAACTCTTTACTATGACCTCTAAATGGACCCCCAAATGAAGGAGTTAAGGAAGAACTAGTTAGGCAGTTTAATTAATTAATTAATTGCTCTTTATTGTTTTATGGCAGCCAAGAGGAATGTTTATTGCATAACTGAATCATTCAAAGAGGTACTTGTTTTAAAAAATAGAAACAGTATCCAGATAGTAGCGCTTAATACACTATGATTTTTATACTAGGATTTACTTATTGTCTGTAGAGCAGTGTTTCTCAACCTTGGCAACTTGAAGATGTCCGGACTTCAACTCCCAGAATTCCCCAGCCAGCATTCGCCAGCATTCGCTGGCTGGGGAATTCTGGGAGTTGAAGTCCGGACATCTTCAAGTTGCCAAGGTTGAGAAACACTGCTGTAGAGGATATGTGATAAATCAAGTAAAAACTAAGCTTAAGTATACAAAGTGGGGAGCCTTTGCTTTCTAACAATATTAAATAAAGATACAGAATGGGGCATTATTAAGCAAGGAAACAAAAAAATAAATTATAGTGAATATCTTACGGGTGCCCTTTCAGATAATTGTTGTTTTATTTGTACTTATGATTAGGGATAAGGTTAGATTTCACATTCAAAGATGTCATAATTTGAGGATGGTGTTTGTGACAGAAAATGTGACCTCTAATAAATTCAGTACAATATTTCAAACTATGTCCAACAGAAAAATTAATAATGCTTACTGTCAATATTACTTATTAATACTTATTACATCTATGGGGGGGAAGTTTAATGTTGATTTCTAAATACTTTTGTTCAGAAATTAATACACTTTTTTTTACAGGTTATGCTCAAGGGAACAGTGGAATTTTACATTATGCTCATGGGGACAGTAAAAAAACACACTTAGGGCAACAAGGTATGATTTCTGCACATTTGTGATTTTGAGTTAAGTGAAACTCAAAGACAATATTAAATTACATGTTCGTTTTCAATTGTCTTCAATCTAGGAAGAACATCACTTAACAATGGATTGTGCACTGGGAAGCGGCCAAATCCAGAAGAAAGAATTCAAAGCATTGGTCCAAAAGTCCAGCGACAGAGCAGTAATTAATGGGGTAAAACTGAGTTGTGAAGGAAATGATTGATAAACTACATTCTAGTCTCACAAAGAGGAAACTAAGCGTGCCTGCTGCATATTTTTGGAGCATAACTTTCTTGGAAGAAGTGGACCAAACACCATTGCATCTAAAATCCTATTTGGCGGTGGTCAAGAACTCCCTGACATTAATTTCATACTTTGAGCGGTCATAATCTTATCCTAAGTGTGACTTGTATTGTCATTTAACTACACCTAGTTTCTATTTTTCCATTAAATTGTGAATTAATATGGTTTTGTTTCTTTGAATTTGTTGCGAGGTAAAAATATTCACTTGAAACCCACCAGTCATTTGCGTATCATCTTGGGTAATGGGCAGTATTTATTTTTTCTTGAAATTATTTGTTAATTTTAATGCATCCCAATTTATTTTTATAGTGGGAAGTTTAAAAAAGAAATTTCATCTGTTGTCATTTTCTACAGATACTTTTCCCTAAGCAGCTTAATATTTTTCCATTTTATATTCAAACCCCCCCCCCTCTTTAAAATAGACTGTCCAGATGCATTCAGGCTAATGTATACGTAGCACATGGATTTGCCCATGTAACTTGGAATATTTTTCTCTTAGGACTTTTAAATTCTTGTATTCCTTCTTCTATACATCAGCAGCAGACTTACCAATCGGTTTATAATAATTAGCCATGCATATTCCCAAACATATTTTGCTCAGAAAAAACTTAGGCTACCCTTTCCTTCTTAAAGCTTGGGAAGGCATGTGATTCCTAAAGCATTTTGAACTAACAGCATCTTAGAAAAGATGAAGAACTTAGATCAGGGCTGTCAAACTCTGGGGTCGGATCCAGCCTGCAGGGCCAATCTGGAAATATGAAGGACTGGCCTAAGGTGCCTTTGCCTGCTTACTGGCAGAGGTTTACAAGAGGCCGTCACAGCTGAAAATGGAGCTTGCGAAGCCCGCTCTGGCTCTGGCTATCACAAGCACCCCTGACACGAGTGATTTCGAGCTGGCCATGCCCCTCCTTTGAGGTCAAACAAAATCCTAATGTGGCCCTCAATGAAATAGAGTTTGACACCCTTGACTTAGATTATTGAAGAGCTTCCTCTTTTGGATAAATATCAAGAAAAATTAATGAAATATTTATTGTTGAGGGTTGTTTTTTTACCATGAGGCACACAATGATGGAGTAACCTATTTTCTAGGTCCTCAGCAGGGTGCAAGATGCCTACCAAGCATACCATCTAATTTTTTTAAAAAAATAAAGGGCGGGGGGCGGGAGACTCATGTTGCAGAACAACACCTTCAAGCATAATTTCTGTGTCTGCTTGATATACAAAGGCATGCTTCACCAATAAAATAATCGATGGCTACAATGCATTGCTTTGTTACTTTTTGGTATATGGATACCTTCTGATTACCATACTATAATTGTAACTAATTGGTCAGAATGTCTGCAAATGCCGATTAGGCAGGCATTCCCCCTATCCTACAAATGTCGCTACCTTTGCCATAAGAAGGCTGGTCTAAGAGAAGAGAGGACCTGAAAATAGATTCTGTCAATTCTGGACTTTTCCTCCATCCCTGAAGCCCACAAGCCCCTTTTCCAGCTTCACCAGTACCGTGAACTGTAAACTGCATGCTATAGTTCTTAGAAGCCTGCCTCCCTACCCTTGTTCCAGTTCTGCAGCCGCCGCAAACAGCAATTCCCCTATAGCCTCCACCTTCCCCTGGAGAACTGCCGCTGACTCTTATGACTCATTCGGGTATAGAGAGTGCTGTGCCTTGCTGTCCTGCTTCCTCCTCCCCAGTTGGTCCTGCTTGGGCCTGACCAGCAAATGAAGCTCCACCCTCCTGCCGCCCTCACTGCACACATCCAGGGCTATACCCTTGCCTTGTGCCTGGGTCTTGGCCACCAGGGAGAGGAAGGAGACAGCAATGGTCACCTCTGATCGGGAGGGGGGGGGGACAGTAGGGATATGTGATAGAATGTAGAGCACCCAAAAGCGCACAGATGGGAGGAGGTGGGTGGGACAGTTGAAGTGCCCTTGCATTTGAGTGCAAGTGAATCTAAATTTGGATTGTGTGACTTGGGGAGGGGGACACTGCAAAAGCCATATGTTCAGGTACCGATCATCTCCCTTTGTTCAGTGCCGTCATAGCTTTGAACGGTCACTAAATGAATTGATGTAAGTTGAGTATTACCTGTAATGTACCATGAACCAAATATTAGTGGTTTAATATGTCATCAGACGTCACTGATCATTGCTTCTACAAATTCAGGTTCTCGTGTTTACTCCCCGTTATCCAGTCAATAGCATCCACTTGTCCATTGCTATTTCTCTTTTCCCCCTTACCTGTGGATATACTTAATCTTCGGTTTCTGTATTTGAAATACATTAGTATTTGCATTTTTTAAGCCAAAAAGATTAATCTTTTGGTTGCTGCAAACATACAGATTTTAAAAGTTTAGTTACGGAAATTATTTTGATTCAGCATTGCATGAAACCAGTAAGTTTTAAGTTGAAAGTTCAAGTACTTGACGTTAATGCCTTTTTAGAAACAGTTTCTTTTCCTACTTATAACTGATAAGTTTATCCCCAAATTTTTCCTGTGCTCCGCTTTCATAGCAAATATTCAGCTGCAATCTTACTCATACTTAATATACGTAAATGTAGTTAAACTCATTGTGAGTTTATGTATAGATGTACATAGAATTATGATATTTTTAACGCGGGATTGTGTTTGGGCTCCTTTTCATTCTTGCCTTTTGTTTCTATTTAACATTCTGTTAACTGCTTACTGAAATCCCTGAATCTATTTCCTATGCCTGTTTTCTGCTTCTTTTTGTCTTCCGCTTCCCCCTTTCTCCCTGCCATCTTTGGATTTTTCATTGTTAAAGATACTACGTTTTAGAGTCTTGTAGTACCTTACAAGCCACTTTTACCATCTGCCAGTCAGGTATTATTCCAAAGAGTGTTCATATTTTTAGTTAAAAGTATATAATTAAAAATAAAAATACACTTTGCTAACTACTGGATAACCTTTCCCACTCAAAAGAATAGCAATGAGTTTCAGTACTAATTAGCAAAATATATTAAAAGGTTTCTTAAATTATTTTCTAATGGATTTATTTATTTTTGTCTTACAACATTGCTGAAAAGAAGGATCCGCACCCTAAAAAGTTTCAGTTTTTGTGAGTGCTTGTATTGAAATATGCATTTTCATACATTTATTTTCACACAATCTGAATGGTTCTAAACTAGTATTTTTGGACTGTATGGTTTCTAACTGACCTTTCTATGGTTTTTAAAATTTTAAATGATGTTCACCAAGGAGAAAAAATAGAGATTTGTAAATAAAAGAGTTAATAATTAGTTTAGTTGCGGTGTAAATGCAAGCATTCACGATTAGTGATATTCATCTATTTTTGATATTTCATGTATGGATTTCAAAATTACATGGCTGGATAGAAAATAGAATATGTCTGAACTACAATGTTGGTCCTCTTTACATTAGTTTTTAAAACTTGGAACAGAATTTTTGACTACTTCATTCTCCAGGCTCTCGTTTTTCAAATGTTTTATTTCCCAGTGTATAAAATATAGTAAAGATTTTACTTTTTGAAAACCATCTGTATATAAAACCCTTTATGCCAATATTTTTGTTAACAAAATGGTCATGAAATGTATTCCATCCCTGTGTTTCCCACTGCTCTGATTAATAAAAAATGTATATATACAGATTATTTCACCTATACCCTCATGTTAGAGAGTAGAGTCATTGTCTAAATCAATTGTTTTTATAAAAGGAGCTTGTACAGTGGATTTCTTTACAGCCTTTGTTACTTTAAAAAAGGCTGAACTCTAAGCAGTGTGTCAATTCGCAAAGCATTCCTGGCCTGCTCGAGTTGACCTGACACAATGCTTATGATTTGAATTTTCCATCATGGAAAATTCAGAAGTACAGAGCACAACACTTGGGACTAGGACCCATGTTGTTTGCAACAATTTCAATAACAGAGTGCCTGCTTTACAAGAAAGACTGATGCTGAAAAATGCTAAGGCAAAGATTTATACAGAAGTTGAAGGCTGAGAGGACTGTATGGGGATCCCCTGAGGATCTGATTTACTGGCCAGTTTCCTTGTCTTTGACCTGGGTTATTCCTATTGTTCGGTAGAGTGGCCCTTTAGCAGACGGCAGCAGAGCTGGGGAAATTGAACTCCTCTGTTGAGATACAATGTTGAGATAATTAGGCTGATGGATTCTCATCTTGTTACTATGCTGCTATTCTCTTACTAGAGCTGCTCTCTGGCTGTACTGTGAGCTAGTGAGGAAGTTTCTGTGGTTTAGATGGGATGGCAAGGAGCTTTGGGGGAAGTGGGCAGGGAAGATCCAGTTGGTAAAGAGAAGAGCCAAGAGCCATATCGTTTCCAAAAGAAGAAAAAGGATGCCACCTCCATTTTGTCAAATTTATCTTTTCTTACATTCTTGAAATAGTTTTGTTTTTTTTAATATTTATATGCTGCCCAATCCCGGAGGACTCCGGGCGGCTTACAAAAAATATAAAAAAAACATAACAATAAAAGAAAACAGTTTAAAAACAGCAAACACCCTCATACATTCATTCTAATTGGGGCTGGACCTCAACAGTGAGGTCAACAGCCCCAGGCCTGCCGGAACAGTTTTTACAGCTTTCCTGAAGACCATGAGAGTGGGTATGGTCCGGATCTCCGGGGGTAGCTGGTTCCAGAGAGTTGGAGCAGCCACAGAGAAGGCTCTCCTCTGAGGGCCCGCCAGCCGACACTGTTTGGCTGACGGCATCTGAAGGAGGCCCAATCTGTGGGATCCTACTGGTCGCTGGGAGGTATGTGGCAGCAGGCGGTCTCGAAGGTAACCTGGCCCTAAGGCATGTAGGTTTTTAAAGGTGATAACCAACACCTTGAATTGAGTCCGGAGACCAATTGGTAGCCAGTGCAGCTCACGGAGGACAGGTGTAATGTGGGTGTACCTCGGCACACCCAATATTGCTCGCGCGGCCGCATTCTGAACTAACTGCAGTCTCCGCTTTTCAAGGGTAGCCCCATGTAGAGCGCATAGAGTGCATTCTCATAAAACAGATTTCCAGACATTTGCAGCAGAATCGTTCTGGCTTAATCAACAGAACTAACACCACTTATTTTCTTGTGTGAATAACTATTATTTCTTATACCATGCTATAAGGAGAATCAGCTTCTATTAGATTGGTTAGGTAGGTCCATACTATTCTCTGAAATAAAATCTCACATGGTAATTATTTTTACTGCTTATGTCACATATTTTTTGCCATATTCCTATATATTATGTACACATACGCAATGTGACTTCTAGAGATAAAGTCCCAGTAAACGCTTCGAAGTTTATTTCTTCCGCCTGTTGCTGAAGTTTTCTACAACATTCTTTTAGATTCCTATCTTCATGCATAATAGCCCCCTAATAATGCCCAAAAATTATGCT